AAGAAAAAGTCCTCATCGAGTTGTTCGGTGAGAACGAAGAGAAGCTTCCCTATAAAGCATATAATTAGCCACAATGGGAATCTGTTGCAAAGCAACTGCATGAGAGATGTAGGCGAGAACATGTTTCAAGTGATACAGGCGTCGTGAATGCTACCGGGATAGCCCGTACTCACATCAAGAAATTTAAAAGACGCATCAGCAACTCCTTGCATCACGAAAGAATAATCTTGCTTTCAATTGAAGTATTCAATCTGCTCGTTGACAGGCACTGTTTTTAATGCAATATGACTACCGTCAATTGCTCTTACCACTTGCGGGAATGGGGACTTGTTTGTGAATAAGCGAATGCTTTGTAGCACCTTTTGCTCTGTCGCTGGAAATTTAATAAATTCTGTGGCCCGTTTGGCAACTGCTTCACAAAAATCGTGTGTTATCAACATAGCTGTACACCTTCCAATGTCAAATTGCAGCCCAGTTGATCTATACGTGTCCCCAGTAGCTAGGCGCCATAACACTACTGCCACTCGCTTGTTTACATGGATACATTGGGGCAATCTCGTGTCTCTCTTCGCCAAATCCGAGCCAACCACTCGATGTACCCAATCAATGTACCCAAATGTACGCCTTGATATCCTGAAATTTTCTTTCCACCAATCTTCCACGAAATCTCCTTGCAAAAGGCTCTCAAACCAGAACTGATTTCGCGGCCATGCCCACGCACGTCTAGCTCGTCTGGTATTTTTTAAAGCAATTTGGAATAAAACCATCCGTTTTCGCCTCGACCACTTGAGCTGTTGTAACATCAACATCTTACAAAATCTTGACGTTTCAGTTTGAGCTCTTGAATTAAGAAATAAAGAGCAATGACCACGAAAGCCACCACTTTACTTCTTGAATTTCCCGCCAGTTCGATTTCATGACGTAGATAATGCAGATAGCGGAAGTGTTGACAGATCAACTTGAGTTATTTGAGCTAGTGTAAACACTGGACGAATGTACCAAGGTTAAGTAACTTGACCTTAGTAAATTTTTACCTTGATAAAAGCTCATATGTAAACACGACAAAAGGCATGGAATGGAGATTCACAACCCTGGCAGCCCCACACCAGAATGGTTGTGCTGAAGCACTGGTGAAAAGCTGCATGATTGATCTTAAAAAGGCAATGGGAAATCACATCCTCATACCATTTGAATTGTACCAATGCGTGTTGGAAATCGCTAATTTAATCAACCAACGTCCAGTTGGTCGAGTCCCAAATGATCCGGATGATGGAGCTTATGTATGCCCTAATGATATGCTATTGGGCAGAGCGTCCCCACAAGTTCCGCAAGGACCCTTTCGTTAGACAAGAAACCCCAGGAAGAGAGTTGAATTCGTCTAGAAGATTGTAGATTCCTTTTGGAGACGCTGGACCAGAGACCTATTTCCTTTATTAGTACCACGTGAGAAGTGGAACACAAGCAGACGCAACGTTCAAGTAGATGACTTTGTTATGGTAGCTGAGCCAAATACAAAGAGAGTCAAATGGATCAACAGAAGAATAGTAGAAGTGCATCCCAGACAGGACCGGAGAGTGAGAAACGTCAAGGTAAAGACTCCTTCTGGCAAGTACTCAAGACCAATTACAAAGATTGCATTGATACAGCCAGCTAAAGGCTTTGACCAGTAAAAGAATGAAGAAACATAGTCCTTCATCGCGGTGGAGGAAATGTTACCATGACAAGACATTATTAATAATTGACAATGATCGCAAACAATTTGATTGACACTTAAATTGTTTTATATATTTGGTTTATTAGGTTTCAGTTCAGTTCTTACACGTGTTTCACTAGAAGTACACACAGTCTTCAGTTTGCTAACCAGTTTTAAAAGTTATACTAAGATCAGAGTCCAAAGTTAAAAATTGTGTCAATTGTCCAACAGTCCAACAGGCATTATACGATCGTACTTTGAACAACGAGATAACAGTTAGAATGGGTCCACTAACCAGTGACTGGAAGAACGTATTGAAGGGATGTCCTCAGGGTTCGACTTTTGGTCCAGTTATGTGGAATACCTTCCAAAATGATCTACCCATGCAAGTTATGGAGGCAAGTATCTCCATGTACGCCGAGATTATCAAATCTACGTGGCTGGTGACTCGAGTAAGGGAGTGGAAAACAAAATTCTAAAAGATGGAGAACAGATGGCAAGATGGTATACGGATAATCTGCTGTAAGTGAACTGTGATAAATTTCAAAGCATGATGCTAGGGCATGGGGATACTGATAGAGTAGTTGACATTACTTTAGGAGGAGAACATACAGAGCAATCCTGGAGATTAAAATACTGGGTGTAAATCTTGATGAGAAATTAAACTTAAGTCTTCACACAAGAGAGGTATGTAATAGGATTAGTAAGCAAGTTGGGATTTTGAATAGATTGAAAAACCTTATACCAACCTGTGCAAAATTGCAACTGTACAAATCAGCTATAATACCCCATCTGATATATTGCCATTTAGTGAGGCACTTTTCTCAGGCATCTGACTGACGAAAACTAGAAAGACTACAACAAAGGGCTTTAAGGGCAGTGTTTAATAATACTTTGAATACATACCATACACTATTTCAAAAAGCTAAGTTAACTACATTATATAATAGAAGGCTACAAGATATACTTATCTTAAGGTTTAAAGTGAAAAATGGATTAACGCCAAAGTAGATAACGGATCTATTCCAAGTTAACTGTGATAGGGATAGAAGATTAACTTAAGAAACTCTGATTTCGGGCTGCCCCGTTACAATACAGTCACGAATGAGAAACACTCCATTAGATACTTGGGGAAACTAAATAAAAAGAAAAGGGCGATCAAGTCTCTGTCAACTTTCAGAACTATGATACACAAAAAGAACATAAGTTGCGGTTCCACTAGAGCTTTTGCCCACGGGAAAGTAGGACTTTGCCCAAGGGGAGTACATGTTTTGTCTGTGACCTATAAAAAGACAGTGAAAGTACCCACGGGAAATCATTAGGGATACATCAAAGAGAACAAAAGAATAACCCATGACACTCCTGGAGCCAAGTCGTATGGTTTATCTATGGTTTATCTAACCAGAAGAGTAGTTCAACCAATCGGGTGGAAGAAAATTGTAAATACCGGAAATCGCAGCACATGCTGTGCTGAATTCGCGGCAGATACCCTGTCACGTACCTAATTCAAGACACGCAGCAACAAGCATGGCGAACTTTCGAGGTTCACAGTGAGTATATTTTACACGTCTTTGCTCCAAATACCCTAATTATCTGAGTTCCTTTAGTGCGAAATGGTTTTGTAATTGTTTTTTTTGTTTTTGACAGCAACTTTAGACCAGAAGATGGTGATCAAGATGCGCCGTTGTATAACGGTTATTTATTTCAGAGAGGTCGAGAGCAAGAGAGAAATCCACAACCACAACCACAACCAGCGTACCCTCCGTATCCTTATTATTTAACTGGAAACCCAAGAATACCTTTACAGTATGTTCCTGAGCCGGCTACGCGATCTTGTAGTCCAATGCCTGGATGTTTGGAGCCATCAGCCGGCATTTGTCAAGCTGAAACATGTGGTGAGAAGGGAGAAAAGAGCCAACATACAAGCTGGGAAATTGATTGCAGCTTACCAGGACAACTACGATCGCCTCAGGTCTACAAAGAGTAGCCATGGAAAGAAAAGCGTGTGGGATACAATTATGGAAGATTTTCTGAGTTTATGCGGCGACGCTGGAATAGAAACTGAGAAAACATTAGCCCAAGTCAAAGAGAAATTGTTCGACAAATACAAAGCTGTCAAAGATGACAAGAACAAAACGGTAAGGGATCGTAGGACCTCTGAGTTTTATGATGGGATCGATGAGTTCATGTCAGGGTCCGACAAAGTAAACCTGAAATTTGTCAAGGAAACGCGAGTAATGCAAGTGAGGCCAAAGGATTCCCCGACAAGTTCCGATAGTGGGAGCAGTGACGCGTCAGCTACTGTCACTATTGCTGATCCAACAACGGCCGCTGTTGGGGAAAAGCCAAATGAGAAAGATGATTCACCCTGTCGACCAAAAAAGGAGAAGAAGAGAGCAAGCCTTGAAGGAAAGGAGGCAGAAAGTACCATTCTCAATCTCATGGAGGCACGACAAGCAGCCATCGAGAAAGCAGACGAGAAAGACGAACGGATGTTCAAGGCTTTGTTAAAATCCCAAAGCGACTATCAACAAAGACACCAGGAATTTACTCTTTCTGTCCTGGGAAAACTGGGTGACATTTTCTCTTCGAAAAAAAATCATAAATGTTTTCTTAACGGTATACATATCTACAAAAGCAATTGCTCAAGTTATAGTTTTCAGTTTTATAGATAGGTATAAACAAACGGACCGAGCGTGAATTTTAAACCATTTTATACACAATACAACAGAGGAATGTTCACGTTTTTTTATTGATAGATTTAAGTTTTACAAGGAAATTTCATGTGATATTATTGACTCACATCATTTTTTAAATGCTGCCCTTAGGTATGGCCATGTTACAGTTTTGCGTCAGTTATAGTACAGAACATTCACGAAAACTTGAAAGCTTGTATGATTATTATTAAACCTGTAAATTCAGAAATATAAATTTTAATAAAAATAGAGTTTTATAGTCAAACGTTGTGATTTAATGGGGAGTAAAGCGTAATCAAGGGAAGTATTTAAAATCTCCAAGGCGTGTTTATTCTTCAAGTGGAAATTCTAAAAGACAACCAACAGAAACAAAGTCTAAAAAACGGCTCCTCTCCAAACAGTTTTTTCTGGCGGCTGTTTATGAAGTGTTTACTTTGGAAGGCCTTTACACTAGTGTACATACCTAACTTACGGAACCAAAGGCATTACAGAAAAAGAAACCAAATTATTGATTTGCTACAAATTCAATTACAGCCAGTTGAACACCGCTTGCAGCCTGGCTGGGAACTCAATTGTCATCATCATCGTCATCATCGCTATCATCGTTAACATCTCCATCGAATTTGGCCCCTCGAATAATGCAAATGTTGTGAAGTGCACAGCATGCTATGATCGTGTTTGGGGTTCTCCAATGATCCTCGTCCAAGCGCTTGAGAAGTGCTCTCCATCTACCCTTTAACAAGCCAAACGCATGCTCAGATACTATTCGTGATTTAGAGAGTTCTTTATTAAACTTTTTGTGATCTCAGTTTAGTGCGCCATTATCTTTGATCACTGGTAGAAGCCAGGTCTTCAATGGGTACGCTGAGTCTCCCACCACAAGGGGGCGAATTACGGTTTCTCCCAAATCCAGGGTAGGTTCCATGAGAATATCCTCGTTTTCAGGGGCCCAATACACATCGCTTAGTCGCAGCATTCATGCAGACTCCCGGGAAACCCAGTGGCAACAGATAAAAAGAGTCCTGAAGAGTCAACAATTCCTTGCACTAAATAACTGTAAAAATGTTTCCGGTGAAAGTAGTCCTCGTGATTCTCTTTTGGTGCCTTTATAGCAATGTGACTTCCGTCAAACGCAGCAACAACATTCGGAACCTTGCTCTTCTCAGAGAAACCTTCAATTCTATCTTGTCATCACTGCCCCAGGGATCCCATGAGATAGCTAGACGCATGCGCATGATCAGTGCTTTTCGCGCTTGGCTTACTCGGTATTCTCACGAGGTTTCGATACGCGAAAGAAAATTATTTCTTCTGTCATCTTTATGCAAATTTGAACCTATTTCTTGCGTTGAATCACTAACACGACATGGATGGAGCGGATCTGGTGTCCGATACAAGGAGCAAAGGCGTAGAAGATTCTCAGGACACGAACATGTCAGTCCTCGAAGGATTAACTTCCACCTTGGCACAACTTGCCAAGGCTTCGGAGACACAAACGGCAATGCTGGCTAGTCTCAAGGAAGACCTTCTCCTTCGTACTGACTCAGACGAGGATGGAGAGGCCGTTCAGAGCCTAAATGACAGCGTTGATCTCAACGCCGCCTTAACTGATGTGCTCGACCCAAGCGACACGCTTACAAGTACCACTGCGACGGCGAAACCTGCATCATGCCCTGACTCAGGGTCACAGGATGACATTTTGGAAAGCCTTATTCAGGCATTTGTGCAAACCAAAGAGAAATCTCCTGCGATAGCAGAAAAAATTGCTGGTTTAATTGACAACATGGTTACTGGAGGTCTCTCAGAAAACACAATCAAAGAACGAGTTGAAAAATATCCTCCTCCAGAAAATTGTAAATTCCTGTCCACCACCACCGTCAACGAAGAAATTTGGGATTTTCTGCCACGACGCAGCAGAACGGTTGACCTAGCTTTCCAGCGAGTTCAAGAACTGCTTGTTCAGGGTTTGTCAGCCCTGTCTATTTTAGGAGACCAGTTGGTAAAGGACCTTCACGCTGGCAAAACATTAAATACACGTCAGATCTTGGATCACGTGATGGATAGCATTGCTCTTCTAGCTAATGCCAAATTTAAACTCAATATGGCACGGCGAGAGTTGATAAAACCGGAGCTTAACCCTCCATACACCAGGCTGTGTAAAGATGAAATTAAACCTTCAACAAAATTGTTTGGAGATGATTTATCCAAACATTTGAAGGATATGGCTGAGGCAAAGAAAGTTGGCCGACAAATGCAGAAAACTTCTGAAACTCGAACGGCAAGTCAAGGCTATTTCAAGGCAGGACAGCAGAAATTTCGCCGTTCAAACTTTAAACCTTATGACAGACCATCCAGTCAAAAAACTTCTCACCAGCGTCCTTTTTTAGGCTACAGCCAGGCACAGAAGAGGGCCCAGAAAAAGCCAAGTCAACCCACCGACAAAACCCAGTATAATAGTAGAAACACAGGTAAGAGAAAACTACCCAACTCATATTGATAAAGCAAATGTGTCTCAAAGGGTTGCTAATTTCTCGGCTGGAGGGTTACAAGACCATGTTGAAGGTTGGAAGTCACTGACTACTGACCCTGTCATATTAGATGCTATAAAGCACTATCACATCGAGTTTGGGGATGTTTCTCCTTCTCAGGTTTACCAGCCAAAACAAATGCCATTTTCTCCTTCTGAAAGGGAGATCATTACTGAGGAAATTTCCAAGCTCCTCGATCCGTGTCCAGGGTAACTTTATCTCTACCATTTCTGTGCGTCCCAAGAAAGATGGCACTTTTAGAATGATTTTAAATCTTAAACAACCCAACGAATTTGTATCCTATTACCATTTTAAAATGGATACGATTCAGACAGCCCTCAAACTGATGCGTCCTGGGTGCTTTATGGCATCGGTAGACCTTATGGACGCCTATTATTCTGTTCCTATTGCATTAGAGGATAGGAAATGCTTGAAATTTGAGTGGCAAGGTAGCTATTTTCAATATACCTGTTTGCCCAATGGCCTGGCTTGTGCTCCTTGCCTATTCACAAAAATATTAAAACCAGTCTACTCTCATCTCAGATCTTTGGGTAATATCTGTATGGGGCATATAGATGATTCATTTCTCTTGGGATATAATTATACTGCCTGTGCCACTAGTATATAGGACACTGTTGATACCTTCCTTAGTCTGGGGTTTATGGTTCACCCAGAAAAGTCAGTCCTGATTCCAACACAAGAAATGGAATTTCTTGGCTTCTTGCTGAATAGTATAAACATGACAATCCGACTCCCACCCGTTAAAGTGGAACGTGTACGGCTAGCTTGCCAGAGTTTACCGGACAAAAGTAAAATGACTGTTAGAGAAGTGGCACAAGTTACAGGGTTGATGGTTTCTAGTTTCCCTGCCGTTCAGTTTTTGGGAACTATACTATAGGGCCCTAGAAAGGAATAAAATTCTTGCTCTGCAGGAAAGTAGGGGCAATTATGATGCACCAATGTATCTTTCAAATGAATCTAGATCAGAGATAGCTTGGTGGGTGAACAATGTAGACTCTTCCTTTAAACCTATTTTCCAGGGAGACCTTGACCTGACTCTTACAACAGATGCCTGTACTAGCGGTTGGGGTGCAGTATATAGGGCTCACAAAACTAATGGTCTTTGGAATGTAGAGGAACAAGCTTTCCATATTAACTACTTGGAACTGAAAGCAGTTCTGCTGGGGTTGAAATCACTTCTTGGCCATGTTCATGGCAAACACATAAGAATTCAGTCTGACAATACAACCATAGTGGCATATGTTAATAACATGGGGGGTATCAAATCTGCAGAGTGTGACAGTTTGTCTAAGGAAATTTGGCTGTGGTGTATAGAAAGAGACATCTGGATCAGTGCTTGCCACATACCCAGCTCTACCAATGTAGATGCTGACACTGAATCTAGGAAAATTAACAATTCAACTGAATGGTCTTTAAACATGGACGTCTTTTCAGACTTGTATAAACTGTGGGGCCCTTTTCAAATCGACCTGTTTGCATCCAGACTTAATTTTAAAGTTCCCAGTTATGTCATGGAAACCTGACCCTGGTGCTCAATATGTCGATGCATTTTTCACGAGTTGGAAGGAGTACTATTTCTATGCTTTCCCCCCTTTTAGTGTTATAGCAGCCTGCCTACAGAAAATAGAGCAAGATCAAGCAACTGGTGTCCTTCTCGTTCCTGTTTGGCAGACACAACCTTGGTTCACCCCTCTCCTTCACCTGTTAGTAGACAATCCTGTTCTTCTCCCCCAGTCGACTCATCTGTTGACACAACCACACAACCATGCCTTACATCCCCTTGGACGACAGTTGAGACTGATGGCTTGCATGCTCTCCGGGAAAGTCTCCAGCAGAGAAATGTTTCAGGCAAGGCTACAGCAATCATCCTCAAGTCCTGGTCTGACGGAACACAAAAACAGTACAAACCATACATCAAACAGTGGATGGACTTTTGTAGTAAATGGAAGACTGATCCCTATGATCCACCTGTAACCGTTGTTTTAGAATTCCTCGTTAGCCTCCATGAAAAGGGATTGACTTACACCACCATCAATACTGCCAGGAGTGCCATATCAGCAGTTACTATACCCAAGAGTAACATGACTGTGGGCAGTCACCCACTTGTTTCCAGGTTTATGAAAGGTGTTTACAAGGATTCTCCGCCAACTCCACGCTACCGGTCAACCTGGGATGTAAAGCCTGTCCTAACTTATCTTTCCTCCCTTCACCCTCCAGAGAAGCTTGATTTAAAATCACTCACTCTAAAGCTGGTTATGCTGATAGCCCTGGTCTCTGCACAAAGGGGACAATGTTTACATATGCTTGACATTGGTTGCATGAAAAAAGTGACTAATGGATTTGAATTCTTGTTCATGGAACATGTCAAACAAAGCAGGCCTGGTTACCGAGCTCCATCTGTTCTCCTGCAAGCTTATCCTGCTGATTTGTCACTCTGTGTGTCTACTTGCTTGGCAGAATATCTTAAGCGAACCCAGCCACTAAGGGGAGCGGAAAGTAAACTTTTTATTAGCTTCATCAAACCTTACAAACCTGTTTCCAGGCAAACTATTTCTAGATGGATTCGTTTGATAATGGAGTCGTCTGGTGTCGACACCAGTGCATTCAAACCACACAGTACAAGAGCTGCAGCTACGTCGAAAGCCAAAGCTTCAAATGTCCCCATTGATGAAATCCTGCGTACAGCTGGATGGTCGTCCTCAAGGTGTTTTGACCGTTTCTACAATAAGCCAGTCGGTACCTCCACTTTTGCTTCTGCAGTGCTTCAGACTGATTAGAACAAGGACTAGGGCCTTTGCTTCTCTGCCCTGTTGCTACTGTTTAGTGATTCCCTATAACGTTGATTAGGTCCTACAACTTAGAGGTTTTTTCAGGGTTATTGTGCTTCGGCCCTGTTGTTTCTATTACTCAGTGTGTTCATATAGCATTATTTGTAAGCGTTTTTCGTTCTTTATTTCTATGGGATACAGTTTGTGTTACTGTTAGTACTGTATAGGGTTGTTTATGCATTAAACACCTTGCAGTTGGCTTTTGGGTTTTTTCTTCATGTGACTGTCTTGGCTTTA